GCTAGTGACTGGTTGCCAGCCTGATGTAACTCCATTTACTATAGCCCTTTGAGCCCCACCCATTAGCCAATTGCTCACCCATTGCATTATGTGTTTATCCAGCTGTATGCTGGACATTTTGTCCAGGAGGATACTGTGAGAGACAGTATTGAAAACTTTACTGAAATCCAAAAAGATTACATCGACTGGCTTCCCTTGGTCAACTAGGTGGGCAACGTTGTCACAGAAAGAAATTAAGTTTGTGAAGCAGGACTTTCCCCTCGTGAATCCATGCTGGCTGGGACCAATGATTGCATTGTCTTTCAGGTGTTTTTCAATAACTCCCAGAATAATCTTCTCCATAATTTTGCCAGGTACAGAGGTGAGACTGTCAGGCCTGTAGTTACTGGGGTCATCCCTGTTGCCCTTCTTGAAGATTGGGACATTTGCCAGCTTCCAGTCAACTGGGACCTCTCCAGATTCCCAAGAGCATTGAAAAGTCATTGAGAGAGGTCTCACTATGACATCAGCCAGCTCTTTAAGTACCCTCGGATGAATCCCATCAGGCCCCATTGACTTATAAGGATCCAGCTGGAGCAGCAAATCCCGCACAAGGTCAGGTTTGGTTGGGTGCTTATCATTCTCACAGACCCCCAGAGCCCATCATCAGTGTTGAAGACTGAGGCGAAGAAGGCATTAAACATCTCTGCTTTGTCTATGTCCTTGTTTGTGAGGTGACCGTGCTCATCAAGTAATGGGCCAATATTATTTCTGGCCTGCCTTTTGCTATTAACATATTTAAAAAAGCCCTTTTTATTGTCCCTCACAGTGGTGGCCAGCTTCAGCTCTGATTGAGCTTTGGCTACATGAATGGGTCCCCAGAGCTGTGGAACAGGCCAGGCTCTTCCTTAATCCTTGGCCACACTATTGAACATGCTCTATGAGATACCTCATACTTGGATCTCTTTATTGACCTCAGTTTTGATTTCTCTTTTTGCTTCCTTCATCTCTGTGCCTGTGAAGAATTGCAGAAGGTCCTTCTGCAATAGGTGTTGGACCATTGGTGGGACCATTTTATTATGCTGTTTAATAGGATGTATGTCGTAATGGAAAGATGAGTTAGAAGGATGCTCTTAACCAACTCTCTGTTAGTTGCTATTCCTAATCTGGCTGTAGAGATATTTAAGAGGGCTTTCTCTCAGCTGATATTGAAGTCTGTCTCCCAGAAAGGTGGGGAAGAAGAGAACGCCACAGACAGGATTCAGTTTTAGGTGGCTGGTTGAAGCTGAGGTCTTCCTCTGCTTGAATATGTAAGCAATGGGTCAGTAAATTCATCAGGACAAAATCCAGGGCTCAAGCATGGGCTTAAAATAGAAAGCATGGGTATTTTCATGTGAGTTGCAGAAACTCTGTTCTGAACCTTTGGTCCTAAACCTGCAATACTTTGTACCTTGTAGAATCAGGCATCATTAAATTTTCTATCTTGTAAGCCAAATCTCAGGAACTATTATATCCTGTAAAGCATGCAACTTCCTTCTGGGACTTAGTTAATAAAAGTAATCTGTACTCAGATGGTTTTCTCACTGCTTTACTTGGTGTATTAATTGTTATTGCTCTATACTATAGCAATTACTTCTATCCATACAGCAATTCATATGTAAGAAACTGAAGTCATTTGAACTTTGCGATGTATAAAAGTGCACATTCAGGCTCAGCTGGGCCATTCTACTTATGATATAAAATATAATTTCTAATCTACTAATGAGTTCAGTTAACTCAGTTCCAGGCTCCCGGCGGCAGTAGCTCTGTGCAGGACAAAGAACCTGTATTCTTTGGTGGGAACGAGGACAAATGTAACCACACAAGCTAATTCCAGCCTCCATTGTCATTTGACTCAATGATACACTGCTTCTGTTCCTTACGAATTAGCTTCCCAGAAGCTGGAGAGACCTTCTTTGTGTGTTAAATGTTTTAGTGCAGATTTAGACTACAGAATACTGGTCATGCTATTTAAAATGTGATTATCTTTGCAGTTTGCCATGCAAAAGAGTTTACTATGAAAGTACTGGTTTCTCTCTGCCACACAATAAATATCTTAATTTAAAAATTGTTTTTAATGGGGAAGTGTCAAAATTTAAAACAGCACTATACATAATATTTTCCAACTAAGAAGTGGAGGCTCAGCCTATATTCTTAGCATAAATTTAACACAAAGACCACCAGGTTCAAAAAATGCATCACGCTGAGTCTGAATTTCATGGAGACTGCATTAGTCAAAGGAAGAGAAATGAAAAACAAATCAAACACTATAAAACAAAATGAAGAATATGGGGTATAAAATGCAAAACACTAAAAATAAGAGAATAAAAGCTGAAAAGTAGGTTTCATTAAAGTAATTTCATTTTTAACTGTTACTTATAGCATAAGTAACATGGGCCAGAAAATTTGTTTTATATGTCTACAGACATATACTTCAGAAATATAGCTATAGGTACGGAAAGATATACATAAACCATATGCTTAATGCATATTTATATAAGGAATTATACCAAAATTTGATAGGTTTACAAACTCACTTTGAGGTTGCATTGGAGAATAGAAGTATTCAACAAATTAGAACGAAGCAAGATACCCATCTCAGGTTTTTTTGATTTCCTTTCTGACTTAACCCAGTGAAAAATTAGATTGTTCTGCAAAATATTGGATGTAATAAATAAATAAGATTAAACTTTGTTGTGCATCAAGCTAGGGAAGAGCAAAAGCTTTATCCATATACTGAAGTAGAATTTTTGAAAATAAACAGTCACCGTTATGAGGTCATAGGCCCCTAGGATTAAGAAAACAGCCCGAGGACTATGAAAATCTTCCAAACCCATATAAAATTATATGCTTATTTTCATTTAGGCAGTTTAATAATCCTGCTGTTAAGTTTTAAGAGGGCAATTACCTTATTTAAATATTTGCCTACAGTAAAAATAATGCACCTGTTGCTGCCAAAGCCTATGTATTTTCAGGTGTACCAGTCTTCTCTGTGTATAAAATGTCTGTTACTTGTCTCGATGCTCCCACACAGAGCCAGAAAGACTGGATTCCTCATTGTAAAGATACTATTCATTTCCACAGAGGCCTCAGTTTAGAAACTAAGTAAATCTTACATTATTTTCATAGTCCCGATGCCACTACTGAGAAAGAGCTATGATGAATAGTATACCCATTTAACCACAGTGTTTGGGAGATGAAGGAATAGTCAGTGGTTTATGTCCTTGTCTCCTATGCAGCTTTGACACAGCTCCCATGGTTATTAACACAAAATACATGCTTAAGCTCTGACCACTGGTGGCAATACAATATCCTGTAACACAGGGGAGAGAGGACCGCAACCTTCCAAAGCATCCTGAGTGAGATGTGCCAACAAGATGTATGTTTAGAACAACTGCTGAAAAATGAAAATTTATGCTTCTATTGTGGTAATTTGAGCCCAAACCAAAGTTTCTTGATCATTTCTTCTATCTGTCTCCCTAAGGACCTGTATCAATTTAACTATGAATATGACTACAAACTAATGTAAATCCACAAATCAACCCTTGATTCAGTGTTAAAGCAGCTTGATTAACTTAAGTCAGTCAGCAAAACGGATATGCACACAGTGGTATATTAACTACTAGTATTTTAAAATATTTAATTTAAATTCATTCAGTTTTCTCACAAAGCCCAGGTCCCTTGGAAGTCACGCAAGATGGTTTGCCCAAGTCTGCTCAGTTAAGCTTAATTTAACTGAATCTGTCAAGATCTTCATGACATGTGAGCACTTTTGAAGTCACTGAGATCCCTAATGCTTTTCAAGTTGTGTATTTAACTTGGGATCACTAGCAACACTTTTGAAAGTGTCCCTAGGAACTGTATTGTGGCTGACAGGCTGCTCAGGTCATCTTTTTACAGAACTGGACATGCATGCCCTCTAAGAGCAGAACACCAATATAAGTGATCCTGCCAACCTAGCCTGTAATATAATCTCTGAAAAATGGACCATTGGTACCACCTTTATTTGCTATTGTTTTCGTTCTTCTGTTTTCAAATGGGTAGGCTTTCTATTGCCCAGTAGTAGATGCTCCAAATTCCTGACTGGCAAGGTTTGGTGTGTGAATCACAGACATCAAAGGAAAAGAAACAGCAAAAAGTTAGAGCAGTACTTTAAGCACCCTATCAAATATGCAGATTTGCAAGGGGGGTGGGGGGAAACAGATTGAGAGAGAGAGTGTTAGGTCCCTGAAATAACCAGTACAATGGCAGACTTCTTAAATGTAGCATGGAACCGAGACATGCACCGCGTGCTCCAGCAGTATTGAAGAAATTTTGGCAGACATCTTTACAAGACCATTCTGCTTGGAAAAAAACTTAAGAAGACCAGCACACTGAAATAAAAACTGTAAGTTAGCTAGTTAGCTTCAATATAGTATATATCTTAAAATTCTCTCAAGAAGCCAAATACTTAAAACTTCTAATTTAATTGGAGTCAACCCACATTAAAGATGATTGCCAGTAGTACTGCCAGTAACAATAATCATAAACAAAGCATCAAACATTATAAAATAAATCACAGCTTTTCATGAATTTATGTATTTACAGGCCAGATTATAATAGTCTGACTCATCTCTGTGAGCATTTAATTCCAAAACAGCTCTTTTTTTTTCAGTGATACAGTCCTCAGCATGATTATCAGTATGTGGCCTGTGGGGGAAAGAAAATCCATCCTTCAGAAAATTCTTATGACTTCATACTGTGGACATTTGACGAGTGAGGGAAATGAGAACTAGGCAAACTGTGCAGATTACAGTTACATCTGACTTTTGGAATATTACTTGCTTTAATCTTGTCACTAAAAGACCTAAGAGCCACATACGATTCTTCTGATGTGCAGAGACCTTCAGCTCACGTCAGTTACAACTGCATGCAAAGACCAAATTTCTAAAATGTGATTCCCAATATCCTTTCCTGCCCACCCCCCCCCACCCCCGACTTACCTGGTTTCATCAATATAAACTGCCTCCAGCACAGATGCTGCATATTCAATATTCTTTTTTAAATCCACCACATTAATGTCACCCTTCTCCAGCTGCTTTACCAAGCATCTTAATCTGTGAAAAAGAAAATAAAAATATCAGTGCATTGCTTATATCAAATTTTAGTGACTGCATTTTCCATTTGAAATATTGGAACCAACGCAACAGCCAATGTAGAGGTATGAGACCGTCACTGCCTCTCTTGTCTTTTTTAAAAAAATCTGGTTTTAGAACGCACATAACAATGACCAGTTTTATGTTTTTACAGCTTGCTAAATTTGTAAAATCTATTAAGAAAAGGCATAAACATTCCAGTAAGTCAGAGAGGACTCAGTAACTACCATCAGAGCGATTTTATATTAATTTGTGACATTACTGTTATGCCTGAGTCTCTAATTTTGTTTACATAATAAATAAAACTTTGCAAGTTGTCTTACTATAATTTTTCTGTGCTTAGAAGGTTGATTATAATTTTTTAATATCCCTTATATACTGATTTTGCTTCATTTAAATGTCTCTAATTTTTATTTAGGCCTCTGGTATGTTTTTGCTGCAGAATTTATATTTCTTATTAGCATGAGCTAATGTGGAGCTCCATTGTTTCAGAATTTACAGAAAATTCATCATTATACCAGGCGAAAGGTTGTGCATATGGCATTAGAAAAACCCAATTATTTTCCCAAGTGTGCTTTTACTTTTAGTTTTGAGAACATTCTTTTACGTTACAAATACGGATACGCCCAAAGGGGATTTTGTACTGCATCAACTCATGCCTCTGTAGCAATACACTTATACAGATAAACTCCTTGAATATCAGATTTTTCCTAAACTCTCTAATGAGAAGAACACTTCTGACACTACTCAACTTAATCATACAGAATAGTCACAGCACTGGAGTGAAATGAAAACCTTATCAGTAACTGTGTAGAGGTGTGACTAAATGGATGCTTAAAGAAGTATGGGTATCTTCTTCTTTCTGTGCTATATCTCTGAGTTGAAATAATCTACAGTTTTGTATCATGTAAGATAAAGATTTCTGTAATTAAAGAGACATCATTATTCTAACTTTCACGAAATCACCTTTTTTCTGAGTATGAAATGTGAAAAAAATGTGAAACAAGCATTTAGTTAAAAGTGGATTGAAATTGACTCAGCACTAAGCTGACTTTACTTTCAGAAAAAAATCATATTTATGATGTGAAAGAGCATATATAAAAATGTACACTTTGTTATATAATGTTATATGTACTATATATTATTTATATTAGGCATATACAATATTTTATTGGACCTAATTAAAATGTATGAATTTAAAAAATGCAGTGATATTCAAAACAAATCTCTTGTAAACTTGGAAAGTACTGTTCCGTCATAAGACCACTTTCATGGTTTTTCTTTATATTTATTTGCCCTAAGTATAATCATGTCCAAGCCTGCAAGGATAATTTTAGCAAATGGAGTTTTAAGACCAGCCTCCTCAGTTCTCCAAAGACTTAATTCAATTCAAATTAGCATAGAACATAATACAACCAAGGCTCTTAGCAACCATATTTACTTGGTATTATACACAGTGCATTGCATATCAACAGAATGGAAAAGATAGTGTTAAAAAATTTTCTCAGAGAAGTGAAGTGGGTGGATGAAATATTGTGGGAGCGCATCTCCTACACAGAAATAACCATATGCATGGGGAGGCAGTTCCAGTACATAGCGCCTTCCACTTCAGAGGTACCTATAGACTGAAGCAGCTAATTCATAGACACTCACCTTGCAGTACCCAACACATGCACTGTAACTCTCCTAGGATGTCTGCTTCTCAGTAATGCACACAAACACATATACAATCCCTCCTGAGCACTAACGCCAAAATGCCCAGGTGAGTCTGGCAGCATCATCGCCACTACTTGCAAATAGCCGTAGGGCGGTTCTACCACTTGCACTGTTCCCTTCGTGTTTGACCGAGCACATCTCTGAATCGCACTTTCCAAAGTAGAAGTATAAGTGAATTCAAAAATGCAACTTGCCACAGTGTGGGGACAGGTTATGGTAGAACAATATTAGCTCAAAATGGCTTAAAATCCTACGATTTCCAGTGGTTCTACATTTTCTCAGGGCATAGACCGGATGACAGATATGTGGAATCATTTTTACGCTTGCAGGAGGAAAGGAGTCCTTGGGGAAGCCCTTAAGCCACAACGACCTTGCAATATCTTGCTGCACAGGTGGCAGTCAACCAATGTAACCTGCCCTGTACTTATAGTTCATATTCTAGGAGGAATGCAGAACACAGTTAACAGACTGGGTAATTTGGAAAAGCTGCTCAGGCAAAGTTAAAGTGATTCTGAAGAGGTTACAGAATCACAAAAGGACAAAATTTGTATAATTCAGTGATGACCAGTGACCTTGTCATCTCATGCATCCATGCTTTGTGGAGATGCCCTCAAGAGTGTCTGTAGCTGACCCAGTGCAGATCTGTCATAGACCCACAGGATAATTTTGGTTGGAAGGGACCTCCACCTGATCCAAGCTCTTGCTCAAAGCAGGGCCAACCTCAAAGTTAGGTATAACTACAAAGTTAGACCAAATTTCCCAGGGGCATTTCCACTCGTTTTGAATGCATGGAGATTTCACAAACTCTCTGGGCAATCAGTTTCAATGTTGTAATCATGTGGATTATTTTCCCCAATATCTAAATGGAATGTCCTTTGTGGCAACTTGTGCCCAGTGGCCCCCAACCTCTGCTGTGTACTTCCAGGAAAAATCTGGCTCTATCTATAGTTATTATTATATCTATCTGTTTCCCACTGGGAAGCTGGACACAGCAATAAAATCCCTCCATAGTGTTGCTGATCAGACACTTGTCAGATGATAACCATGAGGTCTACCCCAAAAGTTAGAGAAATGGACTTCCAACGCAGCAAAATTAAGTGGGTTATAACAGCATATGAATGGTCTGCATATACTCAACATATTATGCATTAAAGCGAAATAGCCATAGATTTAAGAGCTGACATTTCAGTAACGAAACTAACATTTTAGTAAAGAATAAGTATGTCAATTTAGAAGACAAACCAACAAGTGTTAAAATACTCATAGCCCAGCATTCCACAAGACAAAGAAAATTATAAAAAAGGACAAGAAAAAGTAACAAAAAAGAATTATTACCCCAGCTGTATTGGGCAGGATTTTTATTTATTTGTTTGTTTTCTTTTAATTAAGTGTGATAAATTGAAAACAAAGGTGAGAAATACCATTAGAAAATGTGAAATGCTACTTAAAATTGGAGCTAGTTGTATTACCCTGCCTGTGAACTGTGCTACTAAGAAATAATAGACAGGAACAAGAGAAAACTGGAGGGGTTGTTTTATGAAATAGAAAAATGGACTGTTTGAACTGTTTTAAGCTGCAAAGAAAATTGCATGCAGAGTTAATATGACACAACATGATAGAAATTTATAGAGAAAAAGAAACATTATTTCTCTCAGGACAACTGAGAACCACATGTTAAAACTAGCAGCCCTGGTTTGTAAGGGAGAAAGGGACATCTGCAATTAATAAAGGGAGTGGGTGGAGAACCATCTTCTGTCATATTGGGTAAACACCATGAACAGCGCTGTGGTATTAAATGCTTTTACGGACAATTCAAATGCGCTCTGCTCCTACCTATTTTAACAGTGCCGTCTGTGGGGTTACCAGGATCAGTGTTTCCCTCACCTCCCTGTGCAGCTGATACCTATGTCCAACTGTGGGCAATAAGCTTTGAGGCCCACCCAGCAACACAGGCAAACCAGGAGAAAACAAGGATTTTACTAGGAGCCGAAGCAGTATGTTCTTGATTAACAGTATCAAAATCATGATTCAATTATTCTCTCCTTTCTCATTAAAATTCTCTACTTACCCCATATTTTAATTAAAGTTTTGGTAAATCTACTGTAACTTTCAGGGGTTGTACCAAATTAACTGAGGATAGATTTTAGGTTATTTGAGAAGGCTTCCTATGACAGTTTCAGTAACTACAGGGAAAAAAAAGGAAGATAAGGAGTCAGTGATTAAAAAAGACTTTGCAATATCATTATGAGAAAATGTTTTCCTCTATGGAATCAAGCAATGTTCAACAAGAGAAATATGTTTGGAAATACTGAATAATTGTCCTAAACACAGATTAAAAAGATAACAAAAAGAAAGGTGCCAGGGGTGGGATTACTTAAGAAGGGAGACTGTAAGGTAGAGAGGCAGACAAGTTGGACAATTTCAACTTCAGATTTTAAAAACTGCATCTTCCTTTTCCAAGGGAAAATTACCAGTGATCACTGAGAATAAATGAGAGTTAAAGGTTCACCTTAACAGTCTTCAAGAACCAGAAGAGGAAAATTCAGTCTGAAGTTAACTTCTAAAACTGAGTAGAAGACCCTGTGTTTGCTCTCCTAAAGACTGCCTTTATCTACCATCTGATTGAGCCACACCGTTGAGCATTGCAAAGAAACAGCTTTCTAACTTAGGCATCTGGACTTCACTTAAAACTGTTTTGGAAACTTTGTACAAAAAAAGCTGGGTTTTGCCACATATCCTATTAAAGGGGAAGTGAAATAAACTGCAAACAGTAAACTGTAAACTAACCCTGCTTCCTATTACATTTTGAAATTAATGGAAGTCACTGTTGAAGGATGGGCAACAAAAACCTGAATAAGTCTTTGAAAATAATAAACACATGCTAATGCTGATTACAAAGAAATAGTTATTCATATTAATATTCAATAATCACAATGCTAGTTTAAAAATTATTTTTGTTGGTTAAGTCAACTCCAATTATAACTTGTAAATCATTATGTTCCCATGAACTAGTTGAGAAAAGCCTAGCTTTGTGCCAAATGTATGAATTCTTTGAAAAGATTATGAGCAAATACTGACAACGTGTTAAAAAGTTTAAGGACAGAACAAATTATTATGTTCTGTAAACAATTGTTTCATGTTTTGTTTGGACTGTTTAATATTGAATAAGAAAATTAAGTGGATAATTGTAATCTTTATTATACAAATGATTTGACCCTCTAATGAACATTACAAACTAAAAATGG